ATAATGACCCTTCATCCCTACTCCGACCTCCTTGCACATGGATTGTGATTAGATGAAATTCTATGGCAGTATGGCTAGCAATGATGACAGAAATCAGCCAGAGCGAAGCCTTTGCCGCCCATTTATTTTTGGGTAAAAGGGTTCTGATGATGGTGTTTCTTGATTTGAGATGATTTTGTGTGTTAAAGGGTAAAATTCGTCTATGTTCCCCTGTTCAGGCTATTTGAGCATGGGTGCTATAAATCGGACTCCGGCGACGCGAAGGGATGAGATAGGCACGAAAAGAAATCGGGCAGCAGGGGATAGACAGATCTACCTACCTAGCTCGCTAAAAGTGGGAGCATGGCTGAAGAAGCAAAATAGAGAAGGGAGGAGATGAAAAAAAGAATGAAACGGAAAAGGCATGGACGCATGAGAAGCAAAGCGCATTCGGCAGCTGTAAGTACAGGTCGACCAGAGAAGAAAAAGAGATTTCTTCGAATTGGGAAAGGCCGTGATGGTGAAGATGAGACATAATGTTGCGCAGGGTTGCTCATCAATGATTCAAAAAAATTGAACAAATAGATAGGCCACGATAATCATGCATGCAAGATTCAAATTGCAAATTGCAAGAAAGAAAGGAAATGGAATTATCAAAGAAAAAGAAAAGAGGGAAAGGAAGAAACAACAGGATGGAGGTAGGGACGAGCAGGAAGAGGAGGATGAAGGGTCTGACTACTGACGAGGTGGGGAGAGAGAGCAGAGGGGAAGCGTGTTTTTACATAGCTAGGTGGTGAGTGATTCTGATGACAGGAAAATAAGGAAATAAATCACATCAGCATAACCAAATTTCCAAGGAACTTAACCAATTGATCCATTATCATTAGTTTTTTTTTATGTCTCTTTCCCTTTCATCTTCCCCGCTCTCAATTCATTCATGGTTGTAAAAATAAAAAGTTGTATTGATGTCATCACAAAAATGCCCCTATTCGTTTTGGAGCTTTACATAAGTTATTTTATGCATGCTCTTTGTGGTTAGCGATTATTCATAGGTGTGAGTATATATAAATGGTTTCTGAAAATCAGGTTATAGAATTTAGTACCCGAATCACTTATTAGTGACTCATCTAGATTTTAGGTCCTTTGTAGCCAATTTCATAACTTCATATTCAGAGTTCCAGAGACTGACCTTATATGTGGAATATATCAATAATTAATCAGATAGGCATGGTGTTCAAAGGAGTGTTTGTGCTGTAGAATCTAGCATTGCTTTTATCTAGGAAACTTTGTCTATTCTACTATGAGAAAGCTGAATAGTTTATAGTCAAGTTTAGTGGTATTGGTAAGAAATTCCAAAAATTTATGGAAGCTGCGCAACCGCTGTATATTTTTTACATTCTACTTTGATGATTGCATATCTACCATGTGGCAATATATAAAATGATTGCATATCCAAAATTCATTCTCAGAAATTCGCACATCAAATTGATGACGATGACTCATTCTTTCTGTGTTTTTTTTTAATTCGAGCTAAAAACAAAGGTGATGCTAAAGTGATAATGGGTGATATTAAATATATTTTCTCAAAATATCATTTTGTAAATCACAACGAATCCATTCCATCTTTGAAAAAAAGTCAAATTCAAATTATAACAAAAAAAAATAAAAGGCAAGTAAGAAAATTCGAGGAAATAAAAGAGAGTCATTTATTATCAACTATGAGATCCAATTTCAATTAAAATTAATGGTCCAAATATTATTATAGTAAAGTTATGCACTTTATTTACCGAAGTCAAACTAATTGGGACAGGGCGGGCAGACGGGCTTACATATATAACAACCCACAAACATAGTCATAGAGCCGCTGCGAAGCGAGGCCACCACCTTAGGGATGGCAACAAAACCCGAACCCACGGGTACCCACCCGACCCAACCCGGTCAACGTGGGTAAAACCCGTGTTGACAGGTTTTGGGCCGGGTTTGGGTTTAAACCCGCTACACTATTCACCGGGTCGGGTTGGGTTTGGGTTTAGGTAAACCCGACCCATGGGTACCCGCCCACACACATATAATTACTTTCCCGGTATATTTAATATTCTAAATAATATATCTTCCTTAAACAATTAATATTCTTTATGTTTGTGGAGACATTTACAATTTGTTCTTTCTAATTGTTTAGAATGAAGTTGATATTATGAATTGGAGAGTGAAGAAACTTAGTTGACGAGGAAGAAACTTTCAATTAATCTTTTGTTTATACTTTATAGATGTTTATCTTTAATTTTGAATAATTTGTATTGATCATTTGCGGTTTGCTTGTATGTTCTAGATTGGCGTTTTTTTGTATGATTAATTTGTATGAGAAAATTGATGTTAAACTTTTATTTTGAAAGAAACTTGTTATTGTAAATTTTTTACCACAAAAACCCACGGGTACCCATGAACCCGCGGATACCCAACGGGTTGGGTTGGGTTTGAGTTTTTCAAACCCAACGGGTTTTACCCCGGGTTTTTTTGGCGGATAAACCCATGGGTTTGGGTTTGGGTTTGACAAAATCCGCCCCAACCCGACCCATTGCCATCCCTACACCACCTCTCTAGTAAAAATTAAAATCAAAGACAATAAAAACAATGAGATGAAATCAATCAAACAAGCTATATATATAATATCAAAAATTGACTTATACATTGTCTAAGGAATCTATAGCGTTCGCAACCCTATCAAAGTGGTCGGTCATGAGGAAAAAATATAGAAAGTACGTTAGTCAAAGACGAGGCTAACTAAGCTTTGTGAAATGGTGGTCTAAAGAAGAAAATGGCGCCTAGCCATTTTGGCTGCTATTCTGCCCTTGAGCTTCTGATCAATGCTCATTCTAGTGAGTTGCTCTAGAGACATACTAACCCACTGTAAAATACTTGTCTTCAAATGATGGTTGAGGAGATCTATATATAGGCTTTTCTATCAGTTTTTTTTAGATATTTTGTATGATGGTAACTCTCTCAGTCACATATCTTCTGAATATTTTAAACTTAATGCATAGGGAAGGAATACCCAATTAGATTGAATGGAATTGCACCTACTGAAAAAATGGTGCCCGAGGTGCCATTTTGGCTTCTACGGGACAATTTGGGTCGCCTCGGCTTCATTTATGATGTTTATCTCACTGGTCTTGATATCTCCAACTCATACAAGGTCGTCCAGTTGGGTGCTTTGGCCTGAAAAGGCACGAAACACTACCCAAAACATTTCAAATGTATAAAAAAATCCCAAGAGACTACTAAATACATCTCTTTGACCAATTATCAAGCAAATCAAAGTCATTATGGCTTAATATATGTAGAAAAGGTGCAAAACATTTCATGAAAAGAGTTAATAAAATCTATAATTTACGTTTCATCAGTCAACATTACTTAAATTTCCGGAAAGGAAATTTTTTATGCATGACGACACTTCAAAAGTGGTATTTTTCTATCAGCAGTTTGAAGGTAAAATACCTCGAGTACCACCTAACTTTGAGAATTGTGGTAGACATACCACTTAAGTTTGAATAGAGCGTCATGCCAAAAGGTGCATCCGTCTAGTTTTCCATCCAAACAAAAAAAATTAATTACCTTTTGGTACCCAAAACTTTTTAAAACATCTACAATTATATTCCAACAAGTATTATCAAATATAAAAATTAGAAAACCTTCTAAACATAGTATTACTAGAATGGCTACAGAAATTTGTTCAATAAAATGGATGAATTAGTAAAAATAATAAACAAATATAAAAAAGGATTAATAAATAAACTAGAAGATATGACTCGCACGGAACTATACTGTGTATTAATCCCGACCAGAGCACAAGTTTTTAAACTCTAGTCGGATGTAGTATAGGGCAAGTATTTAAATTGTCAACCCGGGCTGGTGCATGTACCCCTACTTCAATCGCTTAAGTTGTTATCTAGCAAAATGGTTTTAGGTTTAAAACTAATAAAACTACAAAGTGAACGAACAAGGAAAGTAAATTGAGGAGAATTCTACTTGAGGGGACTTCACTTGGGTATTGCTCGCCCTAGTCTCATGCTCAGAAGCGACAAACAAATCTCTAGAGAGAAGGACGTGTTCATACATCGCTAGGTGGCGCAACTGCTAGGAACAAACTCCCTTAGTCGATCAATGAAGGAAAATCAACAAATATAAGCTAGGGGAACTAGCTCTCTTAACCGTTAGGTCAAGAATTTTGATTCGTAGCTAGAGAGTCTAGTCCTCTTTATCGATCAACCAAGGAGATTCCTAACTCTCTCTTAGTTAGCTAATTGAGAGTCATTGCAACAAGTTAGGAAGCTAACTCACTTAACCTTTCAGCTAAGGGTGACAATGATAGGCTAGGGAACCTAACCCTCTCAACTAACCGGCTAAGGATTGCAAACCAAGAGGGAATTTCCACCCTCTAGGTTAATTTCACCCAATATTGAGTTAAAGCTAGCACACTCAACCATTCATGAATAATACCTCAAATAACATATAAAACAGTCAATCAACACAATAGGTTCATGTTCTTGCAACCTAACACATAGAGAGACTAGGGTTCACAATACCCAAGTGAGTAGTAGGCTATTCCATAGCTAAACAAGAGAAAACAACAAAAAGGGAAGAAATATCCATGAAGTGATGTCAATTTTCCTCCTTGTTGCTTGAGATACCCTTGAGATGAAGAAATCTTCGATCCTCTAGCTAGGAATAGGCCCAAAGCTCCTTCTTCCTCCTTTAATTTGCACTTTCTCACTCTAGAAGAAACCCTCACCTCTCACTAGAATCCTCTTTATTTTGAAAATGAAAACCTAAAATCAAAATGAAGCTCCCTTTCTCTCTCCTCGTTGTTTCTTCGTATTTGCCCGAAAGTGACCAGCACGGCCGTGTTGGCCAGTTCACAGCCGTGAACACATAAACGCGTCCATGAACTCAGTGTCGTCTCCAAAACGCACCGCTTCACTCTCCTGGGTTCACGGTTAATGGCCCCAGTTCACGGTCTTAGCGACCGTGAACTCCCTTTGCGTCAGTAATCTCTGAAACCTTGCTGGACTGCTCGATGTTCATGGTTTGTGGTTCCAGTTCACGGTCTTAGGAAACTGTGAACTGCGGCTGCGTCCTGGATGCCTGCACTTCACTGTTAATTCGGAATTTTCTTCAACCTTTTTGCGCTTTTTTACCTCCAATTATCCCAAAATTCGATCTCGACCCTTCCTCACGTGACGCACCGCTTCACTCTCCTAGGTTCACGGTTAATGGCCCCAGTTCATGGTCTTAGAGACCGTGAACTCCCTTTGCGCCAGTAATCTCTGAAACCTCGCTGGACTGCTTGATGTTCATGGTTTGTGGTTCCAGTTCACGGTCTTAGGAGACTGTGAACTACGGCTGCTTCCTGGACGCCTGCACTTCACTGTTACTTCGGACTTTTCTTCGGCTTTTTTGCGCTTTTTTACCTCCAATTATCCCAAAATTCGATCTCGACCCTTCCACACGTGCTAGGAGCTGAAATGTATCAAAACAAGCACAAGCGTGAAATATGTCGAGGAACGATGAAATGCAAAGTCAAACCATCAAGAAACGAGGGGCAAAATGTGTACATTTTGACCCAAATCACTCCCCCACACTTGAACGTTTGCTTGTCCCCAAGCAAACCATTTTCAACCTAGGTAATATTTAAACCTACAAAGATAGCTAGGGGACATTTCAAAAGGCACAAGACTGTGAATCTCAAAGGACTATTTGGGCATTGATACTCGAACCGTCTCAAACAAATCCGGCATCCACCACTAATGACATTCAATTGCATAAAAAATGGGCTAATGAAACGCTCTCATTCTATCCCCAATCATTGCAAGTCTCAACCGGGCCACTAATCAATCACAACCGACCATGCATAGAACTCAAGTCATAGGAACAGACAACGGGGCAACATAGGTCCTCACCGGAATAGATATGAACATTCAATAACAAGAGTTAATCGCTCACTCTCGACCAGTGGGGTCAGGACCTTTTGGTGCAAAAGATGTGCACAATCGTCACCACTAGCTCGCACGGAGGGCTTAGATGCGTGTATAGATGACTGGCTATTATCTTGGAAAAGGAGAAAAAGCTTTTTGGGTGGTGGCAAACATGGTATGAGGTCCTAAAACCCGAGGTTCTTTGGTCTCGACTAAGAACCTCTCCTACAAACAACAACCATTAGCACCAGCCAAAAGTCAACTTCCTTTCTTCCAAACATCACCAATCACAGACCACAATCAAGCACATCACCTTCGATCTATCTTGCTATTCACATTTCAATCCTAGTAGTGAAGAAGGTTATCAACCAATGTAGGTGTTTCCTTGGCTTGAGTGCCAAGAAACCCGATCTAGAGCATACACTAAGTCTTTTTGTGGCCGCTCTCTACTTTCATTTACCCCATTTTATTACCTCTTTTTCGTTTCTTTTCTTTCTTGCAAAATATTTTTTTTCCTTTTCTTTTTCGAGGGGGGTACTAGAGAGCTAGACATTTGCCACTTCTTTCATTAACTACCAATGCTCTTCTTTTCGACTCGTCCTCCAACAATACTTTTTCCAATTTCTAGCAAGAACCATGCAAACCATCTATGTAGGACCTCGAGGGAGCTCAAAACGAGAGCTCCGAGATACAAGGATGACTCACACTTTGACACGAATAAAGGATGGGTGGGGTCGTTCTTTAAATCACTAACAAGCTCAACAAGCATGAAGCTCCTAAACTAGAACGACCCTCACAGTGCAAACGTCTCAAAGGGGATTGACTAAGGGATAAAGATTTTGGGACGATCAAATATTTGGGCATGGACTAAACCTATGCCTCCATCCTACTCGCTAATGAAAACTGTGATGCTACACACCATGGTGAGAGGGAACTATCACACCAGAAGAAAAAGATCGGCTCAAAACTCACAGGCCACCTAGCCGCCCAATCTTCTATTCCAAATTCACAAAATCGATGCATGGCAATTGTAACCGAAGAGTAACCAATTCAAGACATTCCATTCATTTAAGCACATATGAGAACTAAGTCTTCTCACAATCCTAATGTACTCTTAGTCATTTTAATAGGATGCATTCGACTATATGCAAAAATTCAAGAACGATGCCAAATAATAACGAGATTCACCATCCACAAGTCGGCTACTTTGATCATGAACACATTGATTGGAGCCCTCAAATTTTTCAAATTTGGGCATCAAGGCTCCAGCCTCCAAGCATTCAAAACCACACCAAACATTCACACATGCATGCATAATAGACTACCTCCCCCACCCCCCCCCTACACTTAAGCTCGACATTGGCCTCAATGGTGTAAAAGAAGAAGGTAGAACGATGTTACCGGTCAAGTTGTGAATGTTGGTGATCGGGAGCGGAGGGCGGGTGAGATCCGGAAGAGCAAGGAGATGGCTAAACACCACCAAAATCTCTTCATTAGTCATTTTATTAAAAGGAAAAGAGATGCAAACCATTGATGGTTGGGTTGCCTCCCACCAAGTGCTTCTTTAACGTCGTGAGTCGGACGGTTGTTCTTCAAGTTTCGGTCCACCCAAGAACCTCCTTGAAGTTGAGGTTCTCGTCGGTGATATGAAATCTCATGTCATAAGCATTGGACGAATCCATGATTGAGGGCTCGTGAACTTGAGTTGTCATGAGGCTCCACCCACGAGATCTCTCCTTCTTTCCTTCTCCTTTTTCTCTTTGCCCCACACCATGTAATGCATCATTGCTTTGCTTCCATCGCATCCACCAAGAGGGATCACCGATGGTTTGGCCTTAGTTTGGCAAAGAGCCGCAAATGGGTCCTTCGCAAAAAGAGCATCAACGTCGGGTGGAAAGCATTGGTAGCACTTATAACTTGTGGATGCTTAATCCACCTCGACTTCGTCCTCATCTTGGAAACCACTTGCTCCTTCTCCATATTCTTCAGCCTCCCTTCCTTCTTCTTCAATTCGTTCCGCCCCTTGGAATTGATCAAGATCTTCCCCTTCCTCAATGTTTACTTCCTCCTCTTCAACCTCTTTTTCGACCTTCCCATTCATGTCTTTGAGCACGGTTTGGAGGGCAAGATGCCATGCAAGATCATAGAAAGGATTCTCTTGCTCTACCACACTCGTGACTCGGTCTTCAAAGTTGCTCTCGGGAAGGGGAAAGTGATGAGAGTCATCAATGCAACCTTCTGGTTCATCCTCACCACGGGAGCTCTCCGGGGTGAGTTCCTCTAGCTCCACATGGTTGTCGTTGGGCGCCCTTCAACCTCCTCTTTATCCTCCAATAATGGGAGGCGATAGCTTTCACAAGGTCGTGCCACTTTCTCTTCTAGTGTCAAGCCGGGAGGAGGGAGGGGTTGGAAATCCATGTCGAAGCTCATTCTTCCAAAGGTCTCATGGCTTGCCTCTTCGACCTCCTCTTTCTCTTCTTCGAAAGGCAGGAGGCGATTGTGAGCAAGTTGTGCACATGCTTGCTCAACAAGCTCTACTTGCCTCTCCGTGCGTCAAAGGTGCTCCTCCGCTTCCCGAAGAAAGGTTGAGTCGATAGGGTTGGCGATTGGGAGGTCCATGCTAGAGCATCATTCATTAGTGCCCCGAACAAATTGCTCCACCATGAGTTCTAATTTGCTCTTTGGCTCCGGTTGTGGAGTGGCACATGGTCTTGAGGTTTGTCCCATGAAAGCCTCCAGGGCCAACTCCAACTTGGATTTCTCCTCGGGTTATTGAGGGAAATATTCTTGATATGGGGAAGCTTCTTGATACCCCCATGGGGAAGCTTGTTCTTCTTGGAAGAGAGGTTGATAATAGAACATGGTTCCATGGCTTCCTCCTTCTTGACTACTCCTGAAGCCCAAGGGCACCCCCATGCGGGTGATTGTGGATACCCCCACATATTGTAGAAGTCATTGGGATCCATGATTCAACCTACAAACACAAAAACACAAAAACAAAATCAAACAAACACAAACCACCCTTCTAAGAGAAGAGTGGGTAACCAAAACACACACGAAACACAAAACATAAACAAAAAGGCAAGATAAAAAATGCTAGAGTAACACTAAGCGAACTTTTCAAAATAATGGACCGTGGTTCCCCTGCAATGGCGCCAAAAACTTGACTCACACGGAACTACACTACGAATTAATCCCGACTGGAGCCCAAGTTTTTAAACTCTAGTCGGGTTTAGTATAGGGCAAGTAATTAAATTGTCAACCCGGGCCGGTCCATGTACCCCTACTTCAATTGCTTAAGTTGTTATCTAGCAAAACGGTTTTGGGTTTAAAACTAAGAAAACTACAAAGTGAACGAACAAGGAAAGTAAATGGAGGAGAATTCTACTTGAGGGGACTTCACTTTGGTATTGCTCCCCCTAGTTTCGTGCTAATAAGCGACAAACAAAGCTCTAGTGAGAAGGACGTGTTCATACACCGCTAGGCGGCGCAACTAGCTAGGGACAAACTCCCTTAGTCGATCAATGAAGGAAAATCAACAAATATAAGCTAGGGGAACTAGCTCTCTTAACCGTTAGGTCAAGAATTGTAATTCGTAGCTAGAGAGTCTAGCCCTCTTTATCGATCAACCAAGGAGATCCCTAACTCTCTCTTAGTTAGCTAATTGAGAGTTGTTGCAACAAGTTATAAAGCTAACTCACTTAACCTTTCAGCTAATGGTGACAATGATAGGCTAGGGAACCTAACCATCTCAACTAGCCGCCGACTAAGGATTTCAAACCAAACCCTCGGAACTTAATCCGGTCGGCGGAAAGACCTATCCCGGTGGAATCACGGCCCTACTCCGATATTTGAGATTTTGGTCTTAAATTGACTTAATGGAGGTTACCCAAGTGGCTAAGGAGTCTAGCTCCTAATTGGATCAAGATGAGATTTCCACCCTCTAGGTTAATTTCACCCAATATCGAGTTAAAGCTAGCACACTCAACCATGCATGAATAATACCTCAAATAACATATAAAACACTCAATCAACACAATAGGTTCATGTTCTTGCAACCTAACACATAGACAGACTAGGGTTCACAATACCCAAGTGAGTAGGTAGGCTATTTCATAGCTAAACAAGAGAAAACAACAAAAAGGGAAGAAATAACCACGAAGTGATGTTAATTTTTCCTCCTTGTTGCTTGAGATACCCTTGAGATGAAGAAATCTTCAATCCTCTAGCTAGGAACAGGCCCAAAGCTCCTTCTTCCTCCTTTAATTTGCACTTTCTCGCTCTAGAAGAAACCCTAACCTCTCACTAGAATCCTCTTTATTCTGAAATGAAAACCTAACCTCAAAATGAAGCTCCCTTTCTCTCCCCCCGTTGTTGTCTTCATATTTGCCCGAAAGTGTCCAGTTCACGGCCGTGAACACATAAACGCGTTCGTGAACTCAGTGTCGTATCCAAAACGCATCGCTTCACTCTCCTAGGTTCACGGTTAATGGCCCCAGTTCACGGTCTTAGTGATCGTGAACTCCCTTGGCGTCAGTAACCTCTGAAACCTCGCTGGACTGCTCGATGTTCATGGTTTGT